TGTGAGTCAAATGCTACGGAACAAAAAAGACTCATTTTAACATTGAATCTTATGAAATAGGAACCGAGAAGCCTGTGACTCCAATCGCATTCGCGCACTGGATGGGGAATTCAAACACTTGAAGAAATAAAGAACAAGCTGTTGCGCAAGGAAATGAAAACTGGAGTCAAATTCGTCAATGCCGATCGGACTCACATGATCAGTCGCGTGCATATGCATCGGGAAACAAAAAAGAGGGAATTAAACATACCGTATCCCTAGCCCAGACTGGATTGAAACAGGGACGTTGCTTCTCATGAGCTACAAATAGTTGCAACTCTTCCATTGCTGGTGCCGGTCCTAGTTCCAATTCGAACGGAGCACGATACGGTTCGTTCACTTGGATTGGATGCTTGGTTGTGCCAGTGCAGCGGGACATCAACTCCCAAAATACGAGCCCCATGGCATACACGTCGATGCGCAGATAAGCATCACGTGAGAATTGGATCGCACCGTCTAGTACCTCCGGTGCCATGTACCGACGAGTCCCAAGCTGTGAACGGTGGAAGGGAATACGATCGGAGGGGAGTGTGGTATTTAAACAGTTTCGCATCATCAAATGATCCCGTTGTGCATGGAAAACGAAAAGACTGAATGGGAACTGCGTAATCGCGTACGTCTTCCAGGGTATGATTAACGCTATGTACCCACGAATTCGACCAAGTGTGACGCCTAAGACTAAGCGATAGAATGTAAGTTTGAAATTCACTTATCCATAGACGGAAGTTAGTGGGACGGATTTTTCCAGTGTCGTGTGTCATTCAGTACAAGAGAGAGAGATTAAAATGAGCCTTTGACCTACATCGTCTGACTTGACTCAGCCCCTTTACGCAACAACAACAACTACGTGGCGAACAAGTTCGGTTTCAGTTAAGCTATTACACAACATGAAATATGGCCAACAACAAGAACGGAAAAGGAATGAAAATCTCGAGTCCAAATCATCCAGCTCTCGCTTCAAACGTAATTGCAATTGCGATTATAACCTCTATGTAGGCGTAAAGCCTACATTTTAGTTAAACGTATGCAATAGGCCAATGATGGTCAATCCACGTCGAAGCAATTTGAAAGCTTTCTTCAGAAGATTGAGAAAAAACAACAGGTGAAAAATAAGGTGAAGTGGGAGAAAACACACTGTTGAACGATTATGGAGTAAATCGAAAGTTGAATACGAAACTGACAAAGTTTACGGATATGAAAAGAAAGTCGTCGAAGCCTACTGACGATGTGTTGAATTTTAGAGGTTCAATGAAAATTAGCATCGATAAACAATCCAGGTATTTCATATCGCTTACTCGGAATACTGGTTCAGAGCCAATCGATACCGGTTCAAATGGGAAAGCAGAACGTGATAACGTAGATACATTCGAAACATTTGGAAGGATAAAGAGAGACTGGATGTGGTGGAAAACTGTTGGACATCTTCTAAGTGGTCAGAAAATTGTTTCTAATATATGTAGAAAATAAGTATGCGGAAAGGGCTGCATCCTGGAGTACCCCAGAATTGTTCACCAATAGTTTGGATCTCTTTCGATCTAACCTGGTACATTCAGTTCCCCCGAAGAAGTAATCGGCAAGCCAAGCTGCCTAGGAAAACCAAAGGTCTTCAGTTTACGAAGAAGAAGGGAACGAGGAATAGAATCAAAAGCAGATCGGCAGCCCAGAAACATAAAACGAACAGATTTCGCAGAATCATTCAAGGATTAGGTAATTTTGTGTATAAGTGAGGAAACTGCATCTAGCGTGCATTTGTTTGGTTTATAGGTAAACTGAAGAGAATCATACGGGACATCGAGTGAGAACTAAATGCGCGTGAGGACAACACGCTCTGCTAGTTTTAGACCAATGGAAGTTAAGGCGATAGGACTGAAGCGTTTGGTTAGAACGGTTGAAGTAGAGGATTTGGTTATGGGAACAACTATTCCCGGTTTCCAACAGTCTGCCATGGAGCGGATTTTTGAGGAAGTGTTTAAAAACGATGGGAGTAATTCACTGAGGGGATAAACTCCAGATCTCAGAAAGGAAGACAGAAGGCCATCAGGACCAACAACGGATGTGGTTTACACTGGACGCAAAACCTCTAAAGTTTCTTCTTCCGAAACGGCCTTTACCTGAACGGCATGATCCAGAACAAATGGTGTGATGGCATCGTTTGGTGGGTAGAGGATAAATGCTGCGTTAACAGTCTAAATCCGTTGTACAATTCGGAGTTTTGGATTGGATCCCACTTAATACCCTGCAAAATTCGCTGACTATTATAATATTGCATAAGCTAGGAGAGGTACGAGACAGAGAGGGATTAGATTTCAGCTTTGATTACGCAATAATATTCGACAGTTACTGAGTCTTTAGACTCGTACGATCGTTTCCTCTGTCCTCGGAATGATTTCAACACTGGAGGTGCTATTTTGCCGCAACAGAAAAATAAACAGTATTGGAACCAGTAAGAATAGCAATTTGTAGACACAATCGATGAGACGCTTTTCACCTTGTAGAAGGTTTAAAGGACCTCAACCCCGAAGGCACACAGATGATGTTATTTACCGTTACCCCTTTGTTCACAAATGTGCCAGTTAGTGAAACTATCAATCACAGATGCAGATTTATTCAAGAGAACAACGTCGATGTGGGCATTCCATTGGATGAACTGAAACAATCCTTATTATACGCATGCATAACAGCTGGGTCCAATTCATTGGTGAATTATGCCGTTGCAATGAAGTCACCTTTAGGACCATTAGTCGCTGACACCTTTATGGCCAAACTTGATAACGATCCTCTTGAATCCCATAACAGAGGTATATAAGTGTACATAAGACACCGCAGCGATAGTTCCGTCCAGTTATCGGTGCACAGAGAAGCAACGTGGAACGGATAGTATATTCATTTCCAAAGTTTTGTCCCTTTTCAGAGGAAGAGAAATCTAATTCGCTCTTTGGTTAAAAGAGCGATTTACCACGGATACCATCGATAGTGTACTTTGGTTCTTACGTATTGTTTTTGCACAGAATGACTACCGAGAACGATTCATCGATAAGGCCATCCTAGAACATGAGGAACGGCCAAAGGAAATAGGAACAGTTAAGAAGTCTGCCTAGGTGACATCGTCAGTGCTTGTGAAGTGGCAGTTTCCTGATTGTATCCGTTCGTTTATATATGTGTACAAGTACATATGAGGCAAACGTGGCCGTTCTATGCAAAGTATCCGGAACCAATCATTGTCTGTGAATCGTTCTACAGTGGAACTAATTTGCTTATCTCACAGTTTCCCATCGTTGTATTGTAGGAGTTAAGGGGATCCAGGCGGAACTATCTTTGGCGAACTTCATCAGTGAGCAGCGCAACAGTTACGTGTTATTACTGTTACTATCGTTATACATATTCATTCCACTCGTCCCAGATCCACAAGTTATTTGTTCATTTATTTGAAAACTGCTTTTAACCTATGCATTCCTTGAATGCGTTTGAGGAGAATTCAGAATTTGGCTGTGCCATCGTTTGTTGCTATCAAGGTATTATTTTGTTACATGATCAGTGATGTCTCATTCCATCAAATACTACAGATCATTCATAAATCCTATGAAATTGAACGTATGTGACGCCGGTAATTTCTCTGGAAAAGCGATGGAGGAACAAAACACACAATATTCAGAAAAATTCTGCTGATCAGCGGAAAAATCGCCGGGGCTGCGGAATTACTTGCTGTTGTGAGCGGTGAGTTGTCCAATCCAATCTGAGATCGAGAAATGTCCGAAGTTTCTAAGGAACTCAAATTCTGTAAACATTCACAGCTTGATATCACGCTATCCTAACGAAAATGACGATGAAAAAGTACTTCGTGACGGTTTTTCCTCATCTTCGGGAAGATTATCCAGTTCCATATTTCCAACGGTGATGGTAGCACATGAAAAAAACGGTGGCGTTATTTGATGAGAAAAAGGTTTTTTCATTCTACAGCCCATATTTATGCACCTATGACAACGTAAGCTGAAACAAAATCCACGTTACTCTCAGTCAATCACTTTCTCCACTGCATACACGGCTTGATCTATGTCGTTTGAGGTTCTAACAGACTTCTCGGATAACCCGTGAATACGTAGATACTTCTCTTTAAACTAACTACTCATGGCACTTTCAGATATTCCGATACCTATTTTCCTTCTGATTTTGGGTTTTAAGAACATGATTGATCATCTTTCCCACCACACCCGATACATATCTCCATCTGGGCTGAGTCAACCTTCGTGCTATTCTGAGCAAATAGTGCTGATATTTTCTGCCACGATCGTCAGTAGAACTAGCCATCGCGGTTTTGGTCGATTTCCTGATCACAAGGTGAGAATTGTATAGCATTCTCCAGAGCATCTCATGATGCTACACATCGCACGATCAGCCACACCGAACCACCTGTGTATCCGCAGATTATGTATTCGTTTCATTGCTTGTGATCATTCAAGAAGCTATTTATGTGTTAGTCATTATAAACCCTTTTTCTTACACAGAGATTGAGAAGCTTCGTCGTCCAAAAAAAGGAACGTAACTTCAAAATATGTGGGTGCACAGAAGGCAAAATTAGATGTTCATTCGTGCCCGATCCGACGACAAAGACTATCGTTAAACCTAATAGATTTCTTAGATCAACTCGTCCTACCGCGAAATTGCTGTGAATACAGATGAACTAAATCAGAATTTCATTATAACCACAGAGTCCCATTCCAGATTAAATCGAATGAATCACATATGAACCCGCCCAACTTGGTTGTTTAACCGATCCAGAAAGAACACTTAACATGAACTGAACCGGTAAACAACCGACAGTTCACCTAGGGAAGTCGGCCAAAAACCCTGATTCCAAATCAACCAAGAAGGGACGTACGAATCACGCACACACATTCCTGATCGTGTAAGTGGTCACCAGTTCGATTTGGCATCGCGGTGTATTGGGTACGTTGGAAGTTTGACTCCGTCCGAAGAGCATATTATCCGATCAACTGGACACCGCCCTCCGATGGATTGCGGTTTTCACATACCGTCCCGCTCCCTTGCGGGTCAGGCTTTAGCTAGCCGAAGGCTCCGATTGTGAATTCCCCCAGAAAATCCCCCTGCTCTTGCAAGTCATGAACCTTTTTATAACGATTATTGTATCGTGAATTGTTTGGTACTTGTATGAAAAAAATAAAAATACAGCACAAAATATGATATGCAGTAAACCGAACGAAAATCAAAGTTGCACCCTTTTCTCAATGGTTTGGTTGTTGGTGTATTTTCACAAGTGCTGATAACCAGTTTTTACTCTCATTCTAACAGGAGAAACAATAGGTGAAGTAGATAAACCTGGCTATTTAGACAGCTAAATCTAGCCCATCAGACGCATCATGGAACGGGTCTCGGCAGTCATACAGATGGTTCGGATAACAACATAGAGTCACCCGGCTGTTCTCTCTGGAGGGTCGAGTGTACATATACTGCAGTGGTCCGGCTAGTATGTAGCTTTATTTAACTCTAAGTTTATCAAGAGTAATGGTGAATGTTTGATTACGCAGACATTTCTTGACCAACACAAAGAGTTGAACAGACGGATACAGCCCTATATCGGAATGTTACTTGAAACGGTTGGAGATCTGATGGTTCACGATATACATACATACATACATACATACATACATACATACATACATACATACATACATACATACATTAGTAGATTAAGTATCGATCCAATGAGTTTAATTAATTTTTTCACTGAACTGTGTATATATGCATGGAATGATCTGCATAAGTCATGAGAACCAACAAGCGAGATCAAGACAAGAGAGAGAAGAGANCGGCGTTCACGACAATATGACTGACCTGTGGATGTGCAACTGACGGGAACTGACCCGGATCAAAGCGAATAGCTAAACCGAAATCCGCAATACAGGCGGTCATATCGGACTTGAGCAACACATTACGCGAGTTCAGATCCCGATGCGCCACGCTGAGTTTCGGATAACCAACTGTGGTCATCTCTGTCCCATTGGTTAGTGATGTCTCGGCATGCAAATGGGTCAATCCGCGAGCCACACTAATCGCTACACGTAACAGTTCACTCCAGCTGACTGTATTGGTGCGTAAGTAGTCGTACAGGCTACCTAGCGGATGATATTCTGTGACCAGCCAGTACTGGACATCCGGAACTGGTCCGTCGTAATCGTTTACCTGTGAAAGAAAGGGGGGACGAAACAGACGGTGATGATGATGAACTCAGTGTTTCAATATGATAAAGACAATTAAATGATACGTGTCTGTTTTGGCCCAGCTTTATTGTACAGCACAAACTTCGTGACGACTACCGATTTTGACGCGCAGGGAAAGCGGCACGCTGAAATCGATTTAGCGTGGACTTCACACAACTGTTTGACATCGTATAAGAAAGTAACCGAACACATTTTTCAACCTGTTAGACTCTGTGGAACGACAGACATGAATATAGGTCTCAATTCATAAAACCATTCACCTTACAGTTTCCACGTATCCATTCGGTAAAAGAAGGATTTACAAGGCTAGGAACAGCATCAAAATCGAGTAAAAACATTGAGCCAGATTGAGTATGCGCAAAAAAAATCCGCGGATTTTTTCGCAACCTACAATTTATGACACAAGCGTATCACAATCGAATACAATGGTGGCGAATAGTCACCAATGAGGACATACAACGTGGCCTATATGACAGTGACCCATGGGCAGGATTTACGTGTCAGGTGTTGATTGGCGGTTATTCTACCAATTCCCAATCCTCGCAAACATCGCATACCGAGGAGGCTCATCTAGGGACACAAAGAACACACGCCGAAGTCACGGTAGTCCATGCAGATCAAGCATAAGCTTCACTGCATGACCACGATCACCTAATATTACGCAACAATTAGGCATTGTTTATCAGATTAACCTCCTCACCCCGTGCAATCAGACGTATAAGCCCGTGTGCGATCAATGACTACCTTATCAGTTTCTTCAGGAATAGCTTTGCCTTTGTAGAATATGGAAGAAACAGAGGGAAACTGCAGCATACATTCGACTCTTCAGAGACAACAGTCAAACCTTCTGACAACATCAGTTCCCGGGATACATTCGATGGACTACGTGTAGCCGTCCACATATAGTCAGATTGACTTACTTCACCTACTGTTTCCCCTGGTAGAATGTTAGTAGGAAGTGGTTTTAAGCACTTGTTAAACGCAGCTACACCAGCAATCAAACCATCCAGCAAAGCCTGCAGTTTATTTGGATTTTCATTATGTATAACTCCAGATCAGACAATCTAACGCCTAGGAACACGTTGATACTGAAATGTTCATATGATGGCGGAGCTGGTTATGGAATCATGTCTGTTGTAAAGCTGACGAGAAAAAGAGGGATGCAAACTCTGAAGAACACCGCGTTCCGGACTGAACTCGGGTGGACAGGGGATGAGGAGCACAACCCAGAACGCAATTCCCGTTGTTTCCCAACAGGAGAGTGCGATCAATGTCAAACGGTCGAACGCCACTTTCAACTATGGCAACAATGAAAGGGCTGGGCTATGGAATGACTGTCGGTATCATACAATACGCTGAAAGATAAGAGTACGGTTGATCAACAAGGTCTAACACTACTGGCTCTAACGTATACAGGACTCTCGTGCGTCAGACAATTGGGG